CGTGCGGCGTGCCGGTGGTGGGAGTGCCGCAGTGGACGGACCAGGGCACCAACGCGTGGCTGGTGGAGCGGCAGCTCGGCACCGGGGTCAGGGCCGCCGTGAGCGAGAAGGACGGCGTGCTGGAGGCCGACGAGCTGCAGAGATGCGTCGGCTTCGCCACGTCGGATGTGGTGCGCGCCAAGGCGGCGCTGTGGAGGGAGAAGGCGCGGGCGGCGGCTGCCGTGGGCGGCTCGTCCGAGAGGAACCTCAGGGCGTTCGTCGCCGGGCAGGTCGCCCTCGACGGCAACTAGCCAGCCGGCAGGCCGGCTTGCATGCACTGCATGGTGCTGCAATCCAAATCGACAGACGAGACGAGAGGACTCGATCCGTACCGCGTCCCTGTCGTAAATAATTCGATTCGATATTGTACCTGCTACCTGGGAAAGATCCAATGCCGTTCGTATCTTGTCTGAGGCACTCGTTTCGCCGTTATGTATAATTCTGTTAAAATGTTGTTCCAATCATCTAAAGGTATTGCCGTGTTGCTTGTGACTATAATCATCTACTCCCTCTGTCCCATAATATAATATAAGACATTTTTACAATCGCGTCAACCTGCTAATGTTTTACGGAAAATCGGATTCCGATCTCGAGATGCCAATAGGTCGAGAACAAGCGCCTGTGCCTCCCGGCACGCCATGGATTCAAGTGTAGGGACATTCGTGACACCATTGAGAGTAATGGACGATGCTCCCATAAAATTCCCTTCATGATTCCGACAAATTCTATCACATGTCAGATGCACACTGCGACCGAGGCGAGCAATCTGGTGGGCCGGCCCATTTTTCAGTAGCCTAGTGTGTTCTACTGGTTTTGGTAACCTTCTAGAAGGTTCTTGAATCGGCTTTTCATGTTGTTGTTTTTTTTTGTTCTTTTTCTTCTCGTTTTTTTGGTTTCTATTATGTTTTCCATAAATTTCAAAAAATGTTCAGAATTTCCAAACGTGTTCAAAATTTAAATATTATTCAGCATTTGAAGTTTTGTTCAGGTTTTCAAAAAAACATTTACAAAAAATGCTTGGAATTTCAATTTTGTTCATAATTTTTAATAAATGTTCAAGAATTCAACAAAAAATCAACATTTGAAAAAAAATCACGTTTTCAAAAAATGATCATGTTTTAAACAAATGTTCATGTTTTTGATAAATTATTCATGTTTCTCAAAAAATGGAATTTTCAAAAGGTGTTCGCACTTTAAAACTGCTTGAGGATTTCAAAAACTGTTCGTGCTTTAAAAGAATGTTCAGAATTCCAAAAAAATTGCATTTTTCAAAATAAAATGGAATTTAATTTTTTTGTGTTTATAGAATTATTCGGTATTTAAAAATTGTTCATGATTTTTAAAAACTGTTTTGAATTATTTTTAAAGCTACTCCCTCCATCTCAAAATAAGTGACTCGACTTTATACTAACTTTATACTAAAGCTAGTACAAAGTCGAGTCACTTATTTTGAGGCAGAGGGAGTATTTTCAAATCTTGACGCTCCAATGTGTTCTTAAATATTTCACGCATCTTAGCAAATGCTAGCAGGCATCGGTTGGCCAGCAGTGTTCGTACAAGAATACGTGTTCACTGGTTCCATACTGTTTGAAGTAATTGCAAGAGGCAATGACAAGTATTGTA